GCTTTTAAATTTCCGACCATTAATAAATGACCCACTAGTCAATATCATGTGATGTAATCCCATCTTTAGTGACAGGCTTAAAATGCGATGATACTTGCATATTTCATCATTTCTAGCTTGTTAATCCCCACACAACAAGTGACTCTGTAGTCTGTTGTTGAAAAGTGAAAAGAAGAAAAAAAAATGTAAAAAGAAATTCAATTTTAATTTTAGAATTGCGTTCTGTTAAAAATACATTTTGAAAGCTATAAATATGTTGAGATCATATGCATAAAAGAGATGCTCTAGTAACTGCTGTTATAGCAATAATAAAATGTGAGACGAAAGTTCACAGTGGATATTATGGCGGTAATTAAATTACACAGCATGTGAGCTATTTTAATATCACATCTAAATCATTTCAATTTTAATTTCTAATTTTAAAAAAATTAAGAATTTTTTTTTGATCGCGTGCTTTAAGGAAACATCACGTTTCGTAATTTTAGTCGGTCACCTCTCTTTTGTAATGTGAATTTAAACGCCATCAATTATTCAATCCTAATTACCCTTCATTTCAAAATAAACAGACAATTTTATCTTTTACTTTTTTTCTCTCACTTTGCTTCTTTATTTTTTTTTTTTAAACTTTTATTTTATGCAATACTCAACTGACAGGTGCTTATTGATGAAGATAATAAAAAATGTGCTACAAATGGAAATTTATGATCTCAATAGTTACCAAATGTCATTAAAAACATTTTAAAATCATTAATTCAAATGGATTTAATCTTTTTCTAGTAAATCTGTCGTTTCGTCTTTTGATCACAAAATTTTCTATTTGGCTAATCCAGACTGAAAGATAGAAATGTGTTTACTTACTAAGTGAAAGCTTGCAGATTCAAAATGTTTTCTTTTTCTTAATAATTTAATGTCTCAATTGCCAGATAAAATAATTTTTTTTATTTTGTATGAAGTTAGAATTAGCAATAAAGCTACGGGATGTTTTCCAGATTTAATTAAAAAATAGCAAAATTATACGGAAGCTGTTAAAGGAGTAATTGTTTATAGAGGTTTTAATGACATCTAAGTATTGGCATGTTCACGAGAGTTTCCCGTCAAACTAGTGCATATGTAGTTAAATACCACTATTTACAATAGGGACACAATAAAGGAGCTCTGATGACAAACCTCTACCAACAGCTACATATTTTCAATATTCTGAGGTTCTCAAGAGAAAAAAATTACAAAATTATCCCAAAAAGGTTCAGCCCTCACTCGGTCAATTACCAGCTACCTTCCTGATTGACACTAGAACTCAATGATTATATTTTCTAATAGTTTTCACTTTAAATACACTAAAATAATCATCCTCAGGAGAAAACTCATTCAGACACCTCCTTTAAAATCATTTTCGATTTTATTTTAAATTTTTTTTATAAAAATCACAAAATTCTTCCTGATTTTCCTCAATGATAAAGTATTTAAAATAAATTTTCGCTCTTCGACTCGCATGAAGAAAAATTATTCCTGTCACTATTTGAAGGAACGATTTGTCTAAACAGTTTGTAATAGAAAATGACAGCGATGATTATGAAAATATCATAGAATAGAGAAATTTTTAAGTATCTTTATGTTGCTATTTTTTGTGTGCTGGCACAAACAACCTAGTTTTTATAATCCTCTTTTAGTAGTCGACTGTTCGTAAAATATTGTACTTATATATGCTGAATGAGCTTTTTCACATGTGCCTTTCTATGTTTTGAAAGCATGAAGACATAAAAAGGGAGAGGAAGTTACTAATTTGTAGTTGGAAGGAATTTTTTGTAATGAAGTTTGGAGTCAAGCATTCAAATAGTGATTAAAGGGTTTTTGGAAAGGGGAGCGACTTGTTCTTTGACTGAATAAATACTAATCGTAGGCCACTGAGTAAACAGTTACTTCCATTTATGTCCAGCATGTACAAATAGATTTGATCAATTTTTGGAAAAATCCAACAGAGGTTTAGTACCAAAACAGTCCTGTGTCATTGAAATTTAACGTAAAAGTAGTTTAGGAAGTGATTTTCAGACCAAGCTCTCAAAAACTTGAAAATTAGACAGTAGATATCATCAGGGATCAAGGGAAATCATTGTACGATTATTATTGAACTTATCCATTGTAGTCAACTTTATATTTGTCCAGGTTAGGACAGGTTATCCACAAAATCACATTCCTTTACCAAATTCCTATCAAAAAAATATCAAGCCATCTTCACACCAGCCAATGAATATTTTCACATAGTCTACATTAATTAAAAGTCCCATCTCATGATATTCCTCGCCTTGTGACATGTGACAAAAATTCTGTTTTTCTCCTCGTTGTTTTATTAAAATAAATTTTCCTCTTCTTTCTTCCATAACATCATAGGTCTCGGCATCAGGCAAAGCTGTTTTAGTTACCGGATGCGAAAATCCATTAGCGTGGTATCTGTGCAAAAAGCTCGATGAAATTGGATTTGCTGTTTTTGCTGGATTTAAAAATGTTGTTGAAAATGCAGACGCCGAATTACTCACTGAGGAATGTTCAGCTCGAGTTCGTGTTGTTCAAATTGATGCTTCATCTGACTCACAAGTATGAAACATTATTTTTTATTCACTTTATATTTTCTCATTTTTCTCAATTTTATTGTATGAAATGTACATAAATTAATTTTGTCGACAGATGCAAGAGGCTGCAAAGTTTATTGAAAGCAACTTGCCGGATGGAGCGAATGGTTTGTGGGCGTTATTACACTGCGATCAATGGAATGCAATTGGAGAACTTGAATGGATTCCACCACAAGTATTGAAGAAGGCACTCGATACAAACATTGTTGGAACCGTACGTATCACACAAATCTTCCTGCCAATCGTTCGTCGTGGAAAGGGACGCATTATATATCTTTCATCAGCTATGTCGAAGATTTACAATCCCGTCCGTGGTATTCAAACGTCAATTTGTAACGCAATTGAAAGCTTAGCACTTTGCCTTCGTTCTGAAATGAGACGTCATGGTGTTCAAGTAATTGTTGTCGCTGCTGGTGAATTTGCCTCTGGAACTGCATGGTTGGATAATGAAGAATTATGTGAACAAGCTAAAATCATGTGGAAGAACATGAATGACTCTTTGCGCTTCGAAATTGCTGATGAAAAATACTTTGAATTCACCATCCGTCAATTGGAACGTTATACAAAAGTTACAGCTGATTTGACACCCGCCATACATACAATTATTGATGCCATTCAAAAGGCATTTCCATTGCCGAGATACACACCAATTACACGTGAAGAAAAACTTAAGACACTCATTGCTGACTATATGCCATACGCTATTTATGATGTTATTTATAATTAAATTTCGACGAACATGACGAGGACAATCATAGTTGATTTATACAATTAATTTTTTAACCTTATTCTACTTTCATCCTTGCTGCCTTTCAATTATCCTGCCTTCTTTCCATCTCAAGAACAATTAAATTTCTTTAATTTGTTATGTGCATTGTTGAAGATTATAAAGTATCTTAATGAAATCAATTTACATCAAAAAAATATTAAATTTGCTTTTAATTTGAATTTTTTTCCTTTTTCCCGAGAAACTCGTTTGAATATTATTTTATGATTTTATAAATGAAGATAATGTAAATGAAAATGAATAAAGTAAAGCTGAAATGCTATTAGATCTAAAGCTTTGAATGCATTTTAATTAACTTCAAAATGTATGTAAATTTTTTTTTTATTTTATGAAGTTGAAGCTGTTTTTAATTTCGCAGATTTGAATTAATATGTTTGTTTTACAACGAGATTAACTTTGCATAAACAGCAATTTCTTCATAAACTTTTAAAAAGTTTCAAGAAATGCTCGAGAACTTAGGTATTATTACTTATAATTGGACTGCTTTAACAAGTTAAATTAAGCTTTAACTGAGTATTTGAGACTAGAAAGTGTCGGCAATCTTGGAAGAGACAGTCAGTGTTTCACAAGATGAGAATGTTTAAGAAGCACTGAACTATAGAGAAAATACTTGTTCTATTCAGATTTATTGTCATCCAGAGGTGCGCTAGGGCGTTTCGCGGATAATTTAAGTTTAACGAATGAGGATTTGCTAAACCACTGAGCTCAAACTTTGAGCTTCAGTTTAAAGTGGGATCCAAACCACTCTTCTTATGACATTTCTGCCTGTACGCTATAAAGGGGGGCTGTGAGCCTCATTCCCAATACAAATGATTCGAAAAAGGACAAGCAAAAATTTCCCATGCCAAGTCTCGAACCCATGATCGCTGTGTCAAGTATTGCAATAATTAGGTACCCAAGTTCGAAACCATTCCGCTACGAAGCTACTTCAGTCCAGACCATTGTATTTAAGCATATCATCGGTATGTTACATTTTTAAGAAGTGAAGCTAATTGCCAAAATAGCAATCTTTAATAAAAGAGGAAGAATAACTAGAACTTCGCGTCACGTATACAAATTATCCCTTTAAATCGTAATTTACCTTATTTTTCCACCCCTTTAAACATTTTTCATTACCTCAAGTAAAATCCCCTGTGTAGGCAAATCCCTCAAATTACAACACTCTTCTGTTTACAGCAAAAACCTTATAATCTTATTTAACATTTTCAGTAAAAACAAAATCTCCATAAATCTCAAAACAAAGTATTTATTTCAATTCATTCTCAGACGAAGAAGAAAGCTTGTAAGTCTTTAAAGGAAGACAAAAAAAAACATATTTTGACGTAAATATTTCCATGGAAATAAGACAATATTGAGTAGAATAAAGCATAGCAAGTGAAGAGGAATGAGTAGTCGAAGATTCATGAGAGAAAAATAATATTTACAGTTTGTATGGAACAAAAAGAAGCAAAATTTTGTAAACACAGACGAGCAAAAATCACGTGGCAGAGAAAGTTGTGGTGAATATTTTTTCCGACTCTCAACTCTCTTTCAATGTTTTTCATAATTTTTCCTGCACAGTCGCAATAATTCTCACAGCATCCGCTAGTTTGTGATCTTTAAAAAACTGCCGTAATATTTTTTTGTACGAAAAAAATTATTTTCACCAGGAAGTAATTAAAGTTTGTAATTAAGACTCATTTAAACTTGTTCATTGGGTGTTTGGAAACAGTTTAAAAATGAATTTTCACGATGATGAGTGGAAAAAGAAGCCTTACAAGGTACACAAAAAAAAATTATTGTCCTTTGAGGAAAATTTTTCTTTATTATGGACGAATTTAAATTCCCTTAAAAGTCACAAATTTAAGGATAAATGCAAACGACACTTACAGTGCTTTATCATACCATTCATATTTAATATTTTCGTTCCAATTTGCAAGAAGAAAAGAAGGAAGAGAAAGTCATAAATGTAAATTTAAGAAAAAGAGGCTAATGATAGTTGTGTATAGATATAAACATAGTATCTATCTCAATGGATAGCATAAGGCAGTGTTGGTTTACTGATTTGCTGTTAATATGAAGGATGTGGTGTCTTTGAGACTAAGATTAATTTAAGTGGGAAGTGTTCTAATTAAATTTTACAAGATTGATTTGAGATGACAAAAAAAATTGGACTTCAATAATGTAGAAAATCTGAATCATAACTTCAATTAGAGGACATGAGTATGTTATGTAATTAAAAGCATCCTTAAAGTCAAGACACAGCTTTGTTGTAAACCTCTTAAAGCCTTTTCTAAGGAGCATCGGTTAATTATCTTCAGACACGAAAACTCCATTGAATAATCTCAAAAGAGTTCTAAATACCTCAACATAAGTTCCTACTCAGGTGCGTAGCCAGTAGGGGGGGATTTGGGGGACAGAAATTTCTTAATTTTGCTAAGGTTTTTATGAAAAAAATCACAAAAATTACCCCCCCCCCCCCCCTTAAATTTTTCCATATATAAAATTTTTGCCCCCCCCCCTCTCTTCAAATTCCTGGCTTCGCGCCTGTTCCTACGAAGGGTGTGGAACTGAACAGTTACATTTTGATCATTTTTGATCATTTTTGATAATTTTTGATCATTTCATCAGTACCACACCCTTGGTTCCTACTTAAAAGAGGAAGAGAATTCAAAGAATTAAAAAGTGAACAGTTTTCAGAGTACTGACCTTCTTGTAAACAATCTCGAAGCTGCTGCAAACCTAAAGACAGTATGAAAGTTTATTTAAATATATATTGGGATATTTTTTTATGCAAATCTGATGTTGTCTGTAGAGGTGATTTTTGCTAAATGCTAAGTTGATACCTTCAAACTGTTACAAACACAAAAATCATAAAACAAATAGAAAAAGGTACGATTCTTACCAGATTGTCCTCCAAAAAAATATAATTTTCAATCTACCTTCATCCCAACTTCCAACACTGGCAATCCCCACCCTAATAATAAAACGGAATATTATGAAGATGTGTGCTGTTGAAAAAACTGTATCATGATAAAATATCGTATAGTGTAAAAAAGCTTTTATGCAGCTATGAGCATACATAATTCATCAAAAAAGCTATAAGCAAGAATAATATACATGTACTGAATGAATAGAGCATTCAAAAAAAATATCATAAGCCTTTATATTATCCTTGCAGCAGTGAATTTTCATAATCTATCCCATCTCTTCCTATATCTCGGTTCTCTTTTTTGTGTCTTTTTTTTCCACTAAACAAAACCGCCACATAAAGATCAAAGATATAACTCGCCAGATAAAAAAGGCTGTTGTGGCTGGAAATCTCCGTGAATTACAAAGAAAGTCGTCAGAAAAATTTGGTAAGCCTGAATTACCACGAATTCATTTAGATTCAGATGGCACGGAGATTGATGACGAGGATTACTTTCAAACTTTGGAGTCGAATACGGAATTAATTGCTGTTTTTAGTGGTGAGCAATGGATTGATGTAAGTTGTCTCATCTCAATTCCTTATGTTTTTTGTTATTGTTTAATTTATTGTGTACACGTGTATCAACAGCCAACACAATATCTCACCATCACAACCCACAATGGAGAAGAAATAAATAACAATGATGTGGAAAAGATTCATCTTAAGAAACTTATAAGTCTGTTAAGCAACAACAAATGTAATATGTCAATTCTAAGTGAGCCTGATTTGGAACTTCTTTCCAATTTGCAACCTGATTCATTTGCTGACGTCATTGGGAAGGATTTTATTGAGCATTTGAAAGAAGCTTCGAGCAGGTAAATAATTGATTAGAAATGGATATGAATTTAGAATTTAATAAGGCAGTTTTTTGTGTCATTTGAGTTGCTTTTGAGTTGTTCAAGGGGGTAACAACTTAATGTGAAATTTTTCAACAATTTTTAATAATTTTGTTTTCATCAATTTTTTGGAGTTGGGACAGTGTAATATAAAATTTATGGGAACTCCCGAATCGCACAAGTCGGTTAATCGAATAGGAATCTGACGCCAAGCTGGCATGCCTCTGGCATCGATTTAGATCCTACACTTTGTCAGAGTCACACCCGCTTTTCTATCTGATCGATTAACCTACATGTGCCATTTCAGAGAGAAAATCAAATATTTTCCCCATCATGTTGTTTCCCCCTTGAAGTGCTTTTTGTTAATTTTTTAAAAGAAATGATTCATTTACGCACTGAATTTTGACTTTACAATCAAAAACATTATTGATTGGCCTTATTTGAACAATATAATCTTCATCCTTGAGTAAATGTAATGTCATTTGCCTGAAACCCCTTCACCTTACATTCCTTCATACTTTAAACCAGTGCTGTCCAAAGTTTTTGAGACACGGCACTTCTGAGGTGTAAGCCATGACCGAAGTCACACACAGCATGCGACTCGTAACAGTTTCAAAAAAGTTCTAGTGTGCCGCGGCACACAGTTTGGACAACACTGATTTAGTTATTAAAACTTATTTTTCCATTCCCACACAATTTATAAATAGAATTCTCGATGAAAAGCGCGAAGCATTCGACACAATTGAATTGTTAAAGCTAATTGGTAAGCATCAAGGAATCGGAAGACAAAATGTAGAACATCGACCTTTTTCACCGTCGTCGTCTACAACGAGTTTGTCGACAATGAGCAGTTTCTCAAGTAATCAGCAGTAAATTAATTGACTTAAAGTTCTTTAGCATCTTTATCTTGTTGTTGTGGAATTTCATTTAAAATAAAAGAAGTTCTCAATGTAATAAAAAAATATTTAAAAACTCTGTTGTCAAAAAAATATGAAAAATAAAATATAATAGATTCAAAATCATTGAACTCATTTTTACATCTTCTGACCTAACATAATATGAGAAATTATACCCCAATAGATGAAAATTTCCTTTTTTTACATACTGTGAACACAAAAAAAGTTGTAGAAGCTATAAACTCTTTCCCTTAAACCACCGGGAGCGGTTTTGAATTTCTACGCAAGTTCACCAATATTTTTTTTTTATCTTCTCCCAATGTTGACTGTCTGATGTACTTTTTCCATATAGCTAAAAATATACCATGGTAATAAGGACTCATGGAAGAGAAGAAAAAATAAGAACGAAACTCGGTCGAGTGTCAATGAACTTTACTAGCGCGAATAGTTCCATATTTTTGCATTTTTGTTGTAGTCTGGAGAAAATTCGCATTTCTATTTTTGGCACAAACTTTTAAATCCTTCCGGATTTTAAAATTGCATCAATTGAATCTGCAGCTGTGATAATGCAGAATGATTAATTTGATTTCGAGTGATGACAGAGGAAATAGGAAGCATTTGAACTAGCTGTCATGACAATGAACTTTGACCTAGCACAACATCAAATGTAGTTGAATAAAAGAATTTCTTTTTAGAGTGTGGTTGAGAAAAATTTAAGGATTAATAAGAAGACAGTCAATGACGTATCTTTTCGGTTGGATGTTCTCATAGAAAAATCGTAAAAGTTTTTTTCTTTCTTTTCGGAGGAATATAATTTAAACTTTTCGTGACGTTATCTGTTTGGGTTGATGATAAATTGGTAATAGGAATTGACTTTTTAAGCTGAATAGTGGGGGGGGATTGAAATGATTGAGGTTAATCAGTGTTGATGTTAGTTTTCTTTAGGATAATGATGTGATTATTGTGTTGTAGCAAAAGGGAATTTGGGGGTTTGAGACATAAATAGATGTAGGCGAATCTTCTAGCAATCTGGTAAGCCTTCGGTGGTTGAATGGATCGACAGAAGAATACAAAACTATAATCCTTATTAATGTGGACATGGGTTTGATTCCCACCATCAATTGATTCAAAAAGTTTTCGATAAGCTGATTCTAGCACAGTTGCATTGTGGATTCATAATTGCAGGCGTTTGGTGGTTAGACTAATTTCCTAGAATCAATAATAAATTGTCAGATCCTCATTCCTTTCACCAATATCAGTCACTTCACACAAATGACAACACTCATTAATATTTCACTTTGTTCCAATACTTCAGTGCCAATAACCGCCAAATTCTCAAACTTCGTCACCTTTCCGATCAATAACCTTTCTTAAAAGCTGTCGCTTCTATGCTTTTGTCCCTTGTTTAATGAATTGATGAATTAACTTTTAATATATTTTCGGATATCATTCTGTCTCCCTTTTTATCGTTCTTGAAAACTTGTAGCTTAATAATATTAATCAATTGCTTTCAAGTAAAAAGTGAAAAGTAATTTATAACAATGAGAAATGTCCAAAAAAAATTGTCAGACATGTGAATCGTAATTTAAGTCTGAAAACAGTTTTGTTATAAGTACAAATCCTCTGTCTGCATACAAATGACTGGAGGATTAATTAAATTGATTAATTTTACTGTTCATAATTCATTAAACTTCTGCCCTTCGATTAATTTATTAAATGAGAATCTTGTTCAGATGATAAGAGCTCTCGAGATTATTTTGTTATTCCTTAACACCTTGGGATCCAATTATGTAGTAATTAAATTGAGGTACCTTTGAGAGTTCTATGAAATTGGCTATTAATTTTGTATTATTAAGTTGATTTTGAAGGAAGGTCAATTAGGATGAATGAATTAAGTTTGAGTTGGAAATTCATTAATTAATGAAAAGTATTATCAAAAAAATTACAGAAGTCCTCGTGTTATTGATCGAGGGACTTAAGCTCATTTTTATGTTAGCGATCAGTATTTGATTATCTATTTATTTTGCGTTCATTTACAGATCATTAGAAAATTAGAAAATAATTGATTTTAGTGCAATTAGCAAATAATTACAATGAATGCTTATGTAGAAAGGCTTTGTTATTTAACGGTCAAAAAATAATTTGAAATTTTCCCGCTAAAAGTTGCACTTCAAAAACAATAACTATAGTATAATTAATAATTTGTTCCAATGAATTTCCATATTTAAAACGTTTATTATTTAACGATTATTTGAGATTCAAATTTTCTATCGGTCAGTAAGTTTTTGAAAGCTTCCCGCCAAAAGATACACAAAAAATTATTAATTATAGTATATTTATGAATTTAATATCTTTCATTGTTTATCATTTAACGGTTTTCTGAAGTTCAAACGGTCGTATACATTTGAAAGCATCTTGCCAAAAATTACAGTAAAAGCATTAATTATAGTATAAATAACAGTCTGTTGCAAATAAAATTTTCATATAAAAAAGCTTGGTAATTCAAAGGTTTTTTGAGATTCAAAATTTTTCAACAGTAGAAATAAATTCGAATTTCTAAACGCTCTAATCACGTGTTTTTTCATATGAATTTTAAAAATTATTAATTATAGTACAAAAACACTGTTTCAAGACTTTTAAATGCGTTTCCCGAAAATAAAACGATGGACCTGAGCTAATAAAACAAACTAGAACTCTCTGCGATGTCTAGTTAAAAAGTTTTTCTCCGCCCGAACGAACAGACAAAGTGAGATATTAAGCTACCTTTTAGAAACAAGTTTCAAAAATGCGCTAAAAACCGTTAGCGAAATTTTCAAAATTGACAGTCAGACAATAGCAATGCAAACAAAAGCCTTTAAAATTTAATAACATAAACTTAAAGACTGTCTAGTAAAGTAAATTAGGTTTTGTGGTATTTTCCATTCAAATCTTATGTCATAAAAAACTTTAAAGAAGCAAACATTATTCAAAAGACATTAGCTTCAGGACAGCTACTAAGATCATAAAATATATGAGACTATAAATGACTTAATTGTATTTTTTATATCCTAGAAGCAAAATTTGTGATATCCATTTACGTCAACATTAATCAGTCTTATAAAGTGAGTGAAAGAAGCATCAGAACGGACCTCATCTGCGCTCAAACTGATATTTGCTCTCACATTGCTACATTCAACATAAATCTCATAAACGTTTGGTGTTCATGCGCACACAGTAAAAACATTCAATCCTGTATGAGTTATAAAATAAAGAGAGCATCTCATTCGAACAGCAGTTTCATTCTTAATTTATCTTTCAAGTGCATTAGTTGTGCTTTTTTAAAAAAATAGAATTTAAATTCAGTGATAAGTTTTTTGTCATCTTTTCTTCTATCATAAGTGAAAAAAATGGAGCATAATGAGGAGGAGCCAGGAAAGAGGCCTTACAAAGTAAGTGCTAGTGATATTAATATGTGACACAAAGAAAAAACATTTTCCCGCGCTGCAGCTTAATTGAAAATTTCATAATTTTAAAATCGTTGCCTACTCAAAAAATAATAAATTTGAATTTTTTGTGCTTTTGTAATTTTTGTGAGCATCCTAACCGTTCCTTTACGTCACATAAATTTCAAACAAAGAAAACAAAGTAGAACGACAAATGATTTAATTGGAATGCAAATTGCTGTTTTCTTTTCTCAATTTTTTTTAAAAAATTAATTTATATTCCTGCAATGACACAGGCAGGCTCGAAAATGAAAACATGAGGATAAAGACAATTTTCCATTTAAAATTCTCTATTGAGATTATATGGAGCTGAAATAGAATAGGAGACATAATAGAAAATGTAGGTCAAACAATGAAAAGCTTTTTCTTCTTTTTCGGGAATATGGTTCTGCTCTATGTTTGTTCCTCTATTTTTTCCTCTTCCTATTTTACTGATGCCTATCGTACGTGTTGAAAATAATTTGACAGATGCAAAAAAAAAAGGAAAAAAATACCTGTGAATAATTTATTAAGTGGATGGCAGCACTTACTGTTTATGAGAGGGTTAAATTATTGACTATATAGTTTCGTCCTAAGAGCATTTCTGTTCAATGAATTTTGTGGATATATAGTAACACCTGTGAGATGGTTTATGTTCACCGAGAAATGAGTTATAGAGACATACAGTTTGTGAATAATTAAGGCGCATGAATAAATGATGAGGAATACTCTTTCTTAGGGAATAGATGCAGATAGCGGTGCTTCATGACATTTTTAAGAATGGTTTATAGCCAAAAATAAATTTTTTATATGTTTCTCGAGAGTTTTAAAGCTTAAACTTTAGTCAGTGAAAATTGTCAATATATTAAAGACTGTAGCATCATTTGTAGACTACTAATGGATTTTTATGTCACTGACAATCCTAATTCCTAATTTCAAACACGCAAATTTTAATTTCACAAATGTCTATGAAAATCAATGATGAGATTATTCATTGAATTTCAATAAGCTGATGCGGTGATGCATACCAGTTCTAGATATTTCAAGTTCAGCATTTTCAATAAAGTTTCATTGTTGTTTTAAATTTCAAGTAGCATTTAAATTTGCTTCTGTTGTGCTTTTAAATGCAACATTGATACAATTTGCAATATGTTGAAACCACTAAGATCACGTTGTGATGAGTTGAGTTGTGTAGCTTTTAGAAATGTGAGAATATTGAATTCTTCGAGGGATTATTAAAATGCACTTTTGAGTACCTTTGAGGTTTATATTCTACATACTATTTATTTTTTTATGTTCATGATTTTATATGGTATATATTTTACTGTCTTTCGGGTAATTGCTCATGTACTGTAGTGGAAAATTCTTTAAAAGCTTATATCTTGCATTGTTTGAATAGCTTTTTAATATGTAATGTCGGAAATAATTTTCAAAAAAAGTACTTTTTTATTTTAATTAAATGCAGAAGCAAGTTTAATGAAATATCAACATTAAAAGAATTCTTTATCCACAACAACTGCTACGGTAGCATTTATCTGCTTGCCAAATTGTAGAAAAATCGAATTAGAATTGCACTTGACCTGTGTTCAGTACTGGAACAACATACATTTTAGTGCTGGTACTGAAAACCTTATTCCCAATTCATTTGGTTTACACCTTTTACCACAGACAATTTACCCAGAATGAATCTTTGGAACATGATTGAAACTAATATCTCCAAATAGCACAAGTCGGTTAATCGAACAGAAATCCGGCGCTAAGCTAGCATGACACGTTAAATTCTTCGATATAAATCCAGCACCATGCCAGAATAAGACTGGCTTGGAGCCGGATTTCTGATCGATTAACCAACTTGTGTCAATCGGAATCATATTCAATTCACTAATTACTCTGTGATTTTGAAACTAAGAGTGAATGACTTGATAAATTGGACAAACTTGTGACAAAAACAATAAAATGCCGACCTTAAAAAATGGACAAGAACTGTCTTAAACGCAAACAATGATCAACCAGAAAATAAGCTTTAATATTTTTAAGACTCATGGCAATTTTTTAAAGCTTTAAAATAATTCTCAATTCAATTCAGATAACAGATACTTGATAAGAAAGTACAACAAAAAGGCTTCCGAAACACATAAGCATTAACTTTAACAGGAAAGCTTCTTCCGAATTTAAACGAAGAAAATTAAATATTCCATATTTATTCTTGTTAAGATGCTATATCCGTTAAACAAGTTGAAGTCATTTACTGTCCAGTTTTTTTAAGGATTGATAAAAGCTTATCGTTCATTTAATTTTATACTATCCTATAAAAGGTCATCAACTATTTATAATGTTTAATATTGAAATGGAACAGACACAATGTTTTGTCTAACATTTGAAAAAGGAAATGGAACTGTTTTAAAAAAAGAAATGACTCCTAAACTTATAGATTTTTAAATGTTAAGTTTTTAAGTTTAATCCTGCATTAAAACTACTTCAAAATCATCTTAGACCTACCATCGTAATTATAGTGACTATTCAACCTCCATCATCATCAATAATAAAAGTTTTCAACAACATATTATAAATGAAATTCTGCATCCAAATGATGTCAAATGTTAAAATTCTCATTTTTATGTCAGTAGATCAAATTACAAACGAATCGAAAAGTTTCTTGATTTATGTGAGAAAGTTTAGACAAAGGAAAATAAAAGCTTATTGATGAAACAAAGAATGTCGAGAAGATGTATAAAGTTCAAACGGAATATAGAGCCCTGAGGTTTTTGAGAATTTACTAAATCGCATCTTTGAATTTTCAAATAAAAATGGGGCATTTGGAATTGAAATGAATAAATGTCGGTGGGTGGTATATTCAAAGTGGGGTCATCGGTGAGTAATGGGTGTTGTCAAAATGGATTTTCGAACACTTGAGTTTCTCCTTAGTTTAAATTTAGAAGAATAGATTAGAATCTGAGGTGTTCTGCTTCTCGGCAAATCTGTTAAAACAAAAGTAAGGCTTCTATGGCCGAATGATTAAAGAATAAACCAAAAATGGGAAGCAAATGGTTTTGTGGGGATGAAGGTTCGATTCCCACTAGGGAATAATCTCTTATTTATTTCAAAGATAGAATTAGATGTAGGGTCTGTTATACACGAAAAGGCACTGCGATCATAGATCTGTTGTACCATCCCTTTAGGTTCAGCTATAGAATTCCAATGTCCTTAATAAATCCCACTAAGTCCAAATAGCACTAATTATTTCATAGAATAGAATGAAGGACACGTAGTTTATGAAATACTCCTCTTACAATAATATCATATTTATCTTCATAAAATAATAAAATATGGATGACATTCGACAGCTCATTCCCAATGATCTGAAAAAATAGTATCCATGAAGACTTGAAGAATCACTAGGATATGAGATAAAGCATAATAATTCAATTTATTTTATAAAGAACTGAAATTTCTTATAGCAGATATAAATTTTCAATTATCTTTTAAAGCCTCAATGCTCTTCAAAGAATGATTCAGCAATTTTAATTCCAATCAGCCAAAGTGAATGCTTTAGATTTTATAATTTTACAAAAAATTGCACTTTAATAGCTTCAAACTATAAATTTCACTTAACCCATTGCAGCAACTTGCTGTCGTTTTCCCACTGAAAATATTCAGCATAATATTTCCTCATAATATTAATTCGTAGTATAATGCGACTTAAAATAACGTCTAGGAAGCGTAGGAAAGGAAATGAGAATTGAGAATATTAAAATATTTGAATTAGGGTAAATGACCTTGAAATTTGCGCATTTTCACACATGAAATTTTCATTTGCTTCAATCTCTTCGGAGGATTGTAACTGAGTCCAACTAATGGTCTTGAAATGCAGGGAATCAAAGATATTTTCTTCTTTATATGTGTAAAGGAAGCTCTGCTGCGTCAATGAAGAGAAATTTGACTTTTAAAGTTGAACTTTGAAATTTGCGCAGAAAACTTTGAAATTTGCGCAAAAAAATCTTAAAATTTGCGCACTTTTTCAGTAGCAATCTTTGACATATTTTAAAGAAAAATGTGTAAACAAACATTTTTCTTTACATTTATTTGGTGCATCAACTCTAAATTCAAGCAAAAAATGGAGCCATGGATTTAAATTTTTAAGAACTTTTTGATCAAGAATTTCTACAAGAAAGGATGTTTTATTTTGTGGTTGGTGTATATGTGGCTAGCTCGTTCAATTTCATGTCAAGAAGAGACATCAAGAAAAACATGTCTTGAAAATTTATTTCAAGCCCTGACAAGAACAGTTCAAAACTGACATATCAAATATCAAACAAATGTCAATTTTAAAGAACTTCTAAATGTCAGGATTTATTTATAACATATCAAATAAACAAAAAATATTTTAAGCATTAAACATATTTTTGTCTACATTCTTTATTAACTGATGACTTTCCATACTTAAACAGGACCTTCATGGATGTTTCCTTGAAGTGCTCAAATTTGATCATTTTTGACGGTTTTCTTGACTTTTGCTGGCGTTTTTATTGAAATAAATATTTAGAAATCATTTGCATAATTTTTGTCCTATGTCCTCATATCCATTTCATCAACAATCCTTCTAAAATCCTCATTTTTGGATTTAAATATTAATTAATGTTGACAAAATTTTCTGTCGATTTCTACGATACAAAGTGCGCAAATTTCAAAATTTTCAGAAAATTTTGCGCAAAATTCAAGGTTCAAAAATGGGAACTTTTAAAATGGAATTTTAAAGCAGTTCTACTCATCCTTTTGAATTTGCACCATCAAAATAATTTGAAGCAACGTCAGATCTTCATTTTTTGGCACCAAATTCCAACTAAATCTATCACATACATCCCAAAATCAAATTTTTAACAAATATTTTTTTTGTATGGGATTTTTCGGGTGCAAATTATTGAGCTTCCTAATGGTTTAATATCACTAAAAATGATGCAAAAACATCTGCGCTGGTGTTCTACAAACATTTCCCACTGATCGCCTGAACAGAAGTGACATTTTTACATATAATTTTAAAATTTTCGTTTTCATACGAGTGCGCAAATTTCAAGGTTGCGCAAATTTCAAAGTCATTTACCCTATATAAGAAATTTTAAAGATTATGAAACTGCACATTCCATCCATAATCGTTTCTGTAAGCACATTATGCTGAAGTTTTCATTTCTGTTTGCTTAAGTCAACACCAGAATGCTGACTTTAAACGTGAGAGCATAAAAAAATGAGAACATAAACATTAAGAAATATCCTCGAAAAGATTCATTTTTTTTTATTGATGTTGCTTCTGCTGCTGCTTTATGTATAAAGCACACTCTTTGTCTTTAACCAGACAAAGGAAATGTTAAGTGAATATGACATTGAAAATTTTATAAGGATAAAGTCTCTTTGTTTGACTTTGACACAAAAGCGAATTGTTTGTTGAGGAAAAAAAATCGTTGAAAAATTTTTGATATCAAGCGACATTAATATCCTTAATGTATTACCACATCTCTGACTCGTAAATGTCACTCAACCCTTTCAAACCTGCTGACTTTGTTTTCTTTTGTTTGCATCTTTATTCTTACTGAAAAGTCAATCTCTTCAAGATTTTTGTGGATGAATTTTTAATAAAACTTTCGTGCTGAACAAAAATAAAGGTTTGACCAACCTTTGCTTCCTTTTGTTAAACAATGAAAAGGCAAAATGTTGTTTTCGTTGTGGAATGCCCTTAATAGCCACAAATTCATTTAAATAATTTAGAGACATGTTCGCACTTGTCTTGGGGGATTTTTGAAACGATGAAGTTTCTGCTTACAATATTTTATTTTATAAATTGTTAAATTTAGAAGAAGATGCAATGGCTGGCTGCTCATGAAACTTATTCAACCTGTATTTTGACTTCTGTATGCTTTGACAAAGTCGGAAAAAGATTTTTTTTTTTGTAATCAAAAACAAACAACAGAGTTTCGAACCTCAATTCGGTTTTTATCAATCGGTTCAAGTTCGAAAAGAACTAAAGTCTCAAGTCAAGAAATGTTTGCGGTGCAATCGGGTTGATAGTAAAATTAGAACCAAGCGGCAGCTGCTGAATTTCAATGCGTACCAATCAGGTACTTGAAATAATGTAACTGACTCAAAGTCGACTACATTTAAGCCTTGACAAGGAACTTTATTAAACATGAACAAACATAATTATGCACCAAGACATCCTAAATGTCCGATTGAGTCTAGACTTACGTAAACAAATCTTTTTACAGCGAAAAGCAAACCCTCTTCAAAAAAAAATGATCATTTTAATGTTTTTATGCTGGAAAATCTTAGATTACATTTCAAGAGCAAAGGTAGAAATGCCACTGAAGTAATTACATAAACTGAAAAACAAGGACAGTAAAATGAAGTGTAGGTGTATTAGAAAATAATCTGTAGGAACTTAATGGCAATCGTTGATTAAAATGAACAACAAATCTTACATAAATATTTATTAATTACGCTCAACATTTTGATGACTCACTTAAAATGATTTTTCAAACAGACCTGAAAATCCTTAAAATTTTCTGACTTGAATTAAATCAAATAAGATTTTAGTCAAGAAATGATGGAACTTCTTTTTTTGCATAATCCCAAAATTTTACACCTTGACGGGCCTTAACATGTGCCGACTTTTAAAATTCCAAAGAATCAGACAGCCGAGCAATCGAGATCCTTAAAAATGACACTTTAAGTAAAAATCTTCTTTAAAAAATTTAAATTTTTAATTTGCAGACACAACAAAAACACAGAAATCCTCATTTCCAGCCAGAAACTTTTCCCATGATCCCACGCTATTCTGTGCCTTTTTCATTTACATTTATAGCAGTCAAACCGCGAGAAAAACTTTATTTTTGCTTCATCTTTCCTCTATTTTCATAAACAGACATAAAAGCTCAAACTGTGCTGTACATCAAATTACCTGAAAGGCACATTTTACTGATGTAATTGAATTTTATGAGACATTAAAGTTATGAACAACAAAAGGAAGAAAGACGGATGACACTTTTTATTATATTATCATGAATTATTGTTGCTTTTTTTCCTCATGTTTTGTGAACTGCGTAATTATCAACACAAAATCATCAATTCATGTCCTTACATTAAAGTTTATTGCCTCAATTATTTCCTGTTTTATCTCAATTCTATTGGGAAGTTTTTTGATATTTTTGTTAAACAAATTTTATAAACAAAAGTTTTGGAAAAATCGTAAATTTAAGTACATTTTGTGATCCTTTAAACCACAATCATTATTGTTATTACTTTAATGTGGATGATTTTGTATGTTGAAATTAATTGTCAAAGCAACCACAGAGAATTAATTCGAACATTTTGGAAATTGGTTGTGTGAAATATTTGTTGAGTTTATTTAAAATTTGTCAATGTTAAAGATAATTTTGAGGTTATTCTTGTATAAGGCACTAGATGTGAGTAGCTTTAACTATATATTCAAGCAAAAAACTTTAACTCAGGTCTGGGATTGTCGGTGTTTTATCCTAAATGTTTGGGTTTTTATTGCTGAATGGTTATAAGCACCTTTGAGTGAGAGTAGAATTCGTTGTGTATCGAGCAGTACAGCCCTAGAAGTTTGAAGCCATACACTAACCATTATAGGCATCAAAATCATTGTTATGCAATAGATTTTAATAAATTCTTGTCAATTTGTTAAGCCAGCAATTAAAGTTAAGTTTAAGGCTTAAATAAGATGATTTTTAAATAGTTTGCAGAAGCCATTTTGAATTGGTCATATCTATTGGTCGATTTTGAGCTATCGAGTATTAATACATTGCACGTAAATGTTAAAATTCAGCTCTTATGTTACGCTTACGGTATACAAGGTTAGAATTTTCATACAGCATCCGAAAAATCATATTAATAGCCTTTACTACATACTGTCTTCCTATTCATTTCTATTATCTTTGTTCATGCAGACAACATTTTTATTTTATCATCATAAAAACCTTACCAGTTAATTGAATTAAACTCATATTGAAGCTACATAAAAAAAACTTTTTTGCGCCATTTGTAAGCATCACAAAGAGAGAGACAAATTTGGCAATTTTCAGGGAAATTGTTTTTAGACAAATAAATTTGAAACTTTGTCGTTCTTTCTATTCAATATTTATTTTTTTTTCTGGTTTTATTCATCATGCTCAAAGCAGCATTGCACAGAAGAGGCCACAAATGTTGGTTCTCTGTTCAATCTAGCTGCATTGCACTGACAGAATAAAATCAATCAAATTCATTTAAAACATTTTTCATTCTCTCAATTTTCCACAGATCAAAGATGTCACACGACAAATAAAAAAAGCAGTTGTTGCATCAAATTTGCAGGAGCTGCAGAAAAAGTCATCGGAAAAGTTTGGAAAAACGGAAATGCCACAAATTCATTTAGATTCAGATGGCACTGAGATTGATGATGAGGATTATTTTCAGACCTTGGAACCAAATACGGAATTAATTGCTGTATTCAGTGGAGAGCAGTGGATTGATGTGAGTTTAATGATGTCTTTTTTTTTTCTTGTATTTTTTGGGGTAATTTCATGATCGAAATTGAATTAATTTCAATGTCAAATTGAGGATGTTGTGAAAAGATGTAGACCATCATTTAATTACTTTCAAGCCACAAAAAAAAACATGAAAACACATAAACACATCTGCAGGACAAGAAATTGCTCGTTTCCATTCTCGTGTAAACATTTTGTCCTTTTTTGCATTTAGGAAAAAGAGAAAAAACATTACGCACGAATAGAATAATTTTATATCCGAATCTATTCACTCCGTTCATTTTAAATGCAAATATTGTGATTTTCTATTTAAATGTTCAATATATGCTTGATACGTTAGATACGGATGAGGTATCTATTGAGCATTTGTGGAAATATAACATTTCTGTCTAACGTTTTAATTTGGGTATTGATTGATTTTCAATGGTGTTCATTTAGCACAAGACATTGCATATTTAAGTTATGGTTAAACTTATCAAGGTTGACAAAATCTAAGCCAATCGTAATAAAATTCGAACATCAATTAAAGAAAATTAAAAATCCATAAAAGAACCAGACACAAAATAACAAACAACGGTCCGACTACAAACGACAAAAGCTCTCAATACCCAATACAAAGCTCACATACGAATGATGTTCATGCATGAAACTGTAAACACCATAAAAATAACAAAGGGGCCATTCACTTATTACGTAACGCTTTTAGGGGGAGGGGGGTCTAAGATTTTGTTACGATTCAAACAAGGAAATTTTTTTTTCATACAAATTTTGTTACGAGGGGGGGGGGGTCTAAGAAGTCATTTTTTCGCGTTACGTAATAAGTGAACAGCCCCAAACAAAAAAAAAGCCTGTTTGTGTCCACAACATTACGATATGAAAGAATTACAAAAGGGAATCCAAATATTTTCGAAACATGGCATGTCCGAGAGGCTTCATTAACTGAAGAAAGCTTTAAAAACTTAAATTTTCACTCCGTTTTGTCCAAAAAAAAGCATTTCCAACCACAAGCGACCCATATTTTGACATTATTTGACATAACTTTCTTGTATAAAGGTCAGAATTTATGCCTCAATTAACATCATGATGAGTTTGGGGCAAACTACATTCCTTCCTTTTTTCAGTATGTAAATACCACAAAGCATCTTCAAGGCAATATCATTTTATTAGAAAAAATATGAAAAAGTTTCGTACGATCCTCATGAGCTATGTAGATACATGTCAACAGATGGAAATATTACATTTTTCCCAATAAATGTTATTCTTCTTCTTAGTTGGATAGACAGAAGCTATCAATATAGCTATATAATAGGGGGACAACAGCTTAATGGAAAATAATAATACTTTCAATATATGGGGAAAATATATTTGTGTAAAAAAGTGGTTATAAAAAAGCTATATATGAGAATTTCTGAACGCACCCAGAACAATTTTTATAGCCGTAGAAAATTTTCAAATTTCTGAACGCACTCATTACGTGTTTTTCATTTGAAACCATTAATTTCAGACTTGCGTCATTTCATTTCGAAGAAATTCGAAATTGGCTTCGAAAAATTCGAAATTTATTTCGAAAATTTAAACTCAATTCAACTGGTAAAACTTTAAAAAATTCTATGCTGAATTTTGAGCATTTTAGCTATGATAACTACTGTCAACTAGCTTAGAATCAAAGATTGTTATTATTTATGAACATTGATAAGCTTTAAAATCATGAATATCAAGAAACAAAAGAGTTTTTTGCAGAAATATTTTCAAGAAATTTTTACACTTTCACACTTACATTTTTTTGTTGACATTTTTCAATTTCAACTGAATTGTCTTAATTTAGGAATTTTCTTACTTAAAACAATGATTAACAACTTACTGATCACATAATTAGTGATACTGATCGAAAAGCTTCATAATCTGTAGCTTAATTAAAGCAAAATTTTGTTTTATGCTTTAACGGAAAATAAATTTTGAATTTTTCAAAATTTTACATAACTGCCAACATTCGAAATGACGCAAGTCTGATTAATTTAAGCAAAAATAGACTGTTTCAAGATTTTTAACTGCCGACCCTAGACTAAAATGTTGAAAATGAGATAATAAAGCAAATCTGAGGTTCCTATATTGTCTAGTTAAAAAGTTTTTCTGTTCCCGAACGAACGAACGAACAAAAAGAATTATTGAGCGTCCTTTTTGAATACAAGTTTTCAAAATTGCGCCAAAAATTTCAATCAAGTTGTTATCCCCCTAAGCTACAAACTTCTTAATGCCAAACATGTTAATAAATCAAATCTCATGCTTGCAGTTAACGAATTGAAAGAAAAACAATACATTGATAGGTAATTCATTGTGAAATGTAATATTATGGTATTTTTCCGTAACATGATTCTCATCTCCATCGCAATTTCATTCTTGTCTATTTAATATCATCATCATTATTAACATTTCAATCTTATATAATGATAGAATTTGATATAGAGGAAGAAATTCAATTGCTTTTTTTTTCTCTCTGTGTTCTATTTGAGGAACTGGAAAATTTTTCAATGTCACGAACATAATAGATCAAGCATAATTATTGTGTAGCGTGAAATTGATTCTTCTATTTGAGGTAGTTCTCTAGTGGAATGAAGGGAAATGCTAGCATTTTGTTCAGGACGTCCGACTGATGTTTATGAAAATTTTTCATAATTAGCTGGTATGTATTCATGGCAACTAGAGTGTGAAATAGCATCAATTGTGGATGCTGTATTTTCATTGTTGAACGATGTATTGTTGGAATAATGTTGATGAACAATCCTGCAAAAAAATAAATTTCAACAAAAAGTTAATCCTAGCGAAATATCTTGAAACTTTCCGCATCGATTTGCTCCACTTGAAGTCGATTTTTGTATTTGTTTACCAATCTTATCATCATTAATTAATTAAGCACTTTATGTATTGACAGCATACTACAATACTTACTTACTTCCTTGGCTAAGGCGCACGGGGGTCCATTGCCGCTTTTAGAGTTCGTCTAAAACTGGTTCTATCCCTAGACAACTTCTGCCAGTTTCTAATTTCTAGGTTGTATCTTTCAGCACTGATGAGCCTTTTGGGCATCTGTTTACATGATCAGTCCATCTCAATCGATTGATTCGCAGCACCTTTACTATATCAGTCTCCTGATACAGCTCATATAATTCCTCAACTTCTGTATTCCTCCTCATCTTTTTTACGGCCATAAATCGATATCAGAAATCGTCACCACAATAATTAATATTAATTAATTTTCAAGCTCATTAATTTTTTTACAAATAAACATTTTTTAAGGATAAGAAGAAATTGAGTCGTTATCGGTGTCAAATTACTTGTCATCCTTCAATTTAAATCTTAATGGCAATTGATGATCCGAAAATAATTCTTTTTTTAATCAATTAAAAGCTCAGTAAACAGTCAACACCATTCCTCGAAACTTTGAATGCTGAAAATGCGTTTAAACCACAACTCAACTTCAAAGCTTATTCCTTTCATCTTCAAAAGAGCATTGCTCTTTGATTTGTTATTCTCTGTTTGTGTTTTCCTTATCAATTTCCTTTTTTTTTTTAAGACTTGAACCTTTTCATTTCCCTTCTCTCATCTTTTTATTCCTGTCTGTCTGAAGCTTTTGTTAACAGCGAACGACTTAAAGGTATTAAAAAGGGAAAAAGAAAAGTTTTGTACGGTAACTGAATGTTTAAAGATGTGTGTATACGAGCAATTTTGTGTTCCGAAAAAAAATTACTTTTATGTATATTGCGCTGTATAAGACATGTATATAACCTTGAGAGAAAATAAAAGCCTTAAAGTGAATTAAATTTTTATGAACTTCGGAGAGTAAATTATTATTTTTGTGCGTTGAAAGTCGAGTAGAAGACACGGAGGATGTTATGTCGTAATTTACATAATTTAAAATACATTGCTTCCTCATCGGCACCCATCCATAATTTATTTAATCGTACAAGAATATTCGAGCAATATTTACATACATCCTGATGTACATTTAATGACTCATTCATCTTCTTGCTGCTGTTGATGCATCACGTTCAATATTTTTTTCGATTTCTCATTTATTTAAAATTCATTCAGATGAGTGGAACTCAATGTTGAATAATTCACAAATTCATTTGTCACAAAAAAAATATGAAATGCTGCTGCTGGATATGAAAGAGGTGATGAATTTTTCATTTTAATTGTCCCATTAAGAGAAAAATTGCTTCGCATAAGCACACAAAAATTTTTCATGGTAAATATGTACGAGAAAATGGATGCAAGAAGAACTTACGGCCTGTTTCACTAAGGTGGATTATCCACCGATCGGATTATCCACTTTTTCAATCCGAGGATAATCCATAATTTTTTTTAATTCGTTAAACTGCACGGTGAATCAGAAAAAATGGATTTAAAGAAAATAATTTTTTGACGATGGATTTCACAAAAAAAGATCATCCTAGTAAGTGGATTATCCGAAGATTATCCTGAGATTATCCTAGGATTATCCACATAATTTTTCTAAAATGTTAAAACTGGGTCCCCCCAAGATTGAAAATTCGGATAATCTTCAGGATTATCCTAGGATAATCTTAGGATAATCCATATACTAAAATTATTTTTTCGCTGTAGTCACTATCCAATAAAAAGATTTTTTCTCAAATTGTTCTGATTATTATTAACCAATTAATTCTACATCAGAAAAAAATTATTTTGATTTTCCACGCATCGAAGAAATAGATAATCCTAAAATGAGGATAATCCACCTTAGTGAAACAGGCCGTTAATTATCCATTCCGATCGAAATGTGTCAGGATTTTTGAAACGCAGTTGTGAGGATTAAGATTAAAAGTTGAGATTAGTTTTGATTTTTCTGTTTGTCTGGCAAGATTCTTGTGGCAAGACGTATGCACAACTTTCTCCATCAAGCTTTTTTTAAGATGTAATCCTAGCTTAAATTTCTATTGTCAAAAAGACTAGCAACTTAACGAGTGA